ATCTAGTAGACAGGCAGTCTGCCTGAGAAACATTTATCTAAGTGGCTTTATCTAAAAAGTAAATCTCACTGAAAATACCAGGCTAGTACTGAACAAGGTTCTAGTCTATCACTGCTCCCTCTAAAAGTTACTAAAACAACCCCTAATGCATTATTTTTATTTGTTGCCTATGCTTGTGTTGGAAGTATCAGCTGCTCCTCTGACCTTGCTATTCAAATTTTACCACACTACTGGCACCAACACTATGAAGACCTGCTCAGCTAAAATACCTTTTCTTACTATCTGGAAATCCAGTAACAAAAGAGGTGGCTATACTCTCTGCTGTGGTATATACCTTCTGTTTAAGCACACTGTCACACCTATTTACTTCCCCAGAAGCACTTCAGCCTGTAGGGTGTACAGCAGGAGATGAGATACTCCATGCCCAGCCCAACACAGGCAGCCAGTTCAGTATTATCACATTGTACATTCACTCCCAAATCCATAAGGTGTCTGGGCAAAGTTTACAGATGAAATTATACTACTTCATCCTAGTCAGCTACAGGTCCTGAAATTAGCTATTGTCAGTGTGGAAAAAACCAAAACAAAATAAACCCAAAAACACAACTACACAACCTACAAAGAAACAAATACAGCCATTGAGCCACATTCATGGTTTTTGGTTTGTGAAAGTCAATAGAGTTACAATGACTATACAGAAAGTCCATCACGTTAAGAACTTAAATCCACAGCAGTAATGAAACAATGAACACAAGCTTTAGCTCAGAGATGACAGAGGCATTGCCTAGGGGAATATACAGGGACAGAGCTTCTGCTTGGGTAATGAGCTGCAACAGTTCACACCAGCTGGGGATCTGTTCCAAATGCCTGAAGGAAGCTGTTTCCATCACTAAACCAAATAATTAGGGCTGTGTGCTTTGCAGCTTTTTTTAGTAGGTTACAGTTTCTTCTGCCAAGCTGGGAAGCTATGCTATGAGCAGCTGGTACTCCCAGGACTAACAACTTCACCACAATTTTATCTTCTAATACTTTAGCCTCCGATGTCTATGTTTGCAATACAGAACCCGAGAGGGCAAGAATCACAAGTTCCTTCCCCGTGCCTAGAGACTCATCCACTAGCTTCATAAAATGACCTTTGTTACAATGGAATTTACACGGGTGTCCTTGGAAGCAGCAGATGGTCAGGATGAGCTGCTGTCATCAGCATTTTTGCTTTAGTCTGTGAAATTATTCACATAGTAGTCCCCTCAAAGGTGGAGGTGTCTCCTCAACTTAAGAGCCAAAGCACTCTAGTTAAAAGATGGGACAAAAAGGATCAAGCAGTAGTATCTTTAAAAAACAGCAAAGTGAGTTGGATTTTGTGCTTACATAAGAGCAAGAAACCAGTATCTCAATCTGATGTATGAATTAAATGTTGTACTTTATCAACAGGAAATATGAACACATTTCCTTCAATTATTTCCTCTTGCAAATCATTCCCTGTAGGTCTCAACAGAAACAACAGATGCACCCAAAACAAGTTTTCATTTCTTTGCTGGCCTTTTCAAAGAAAAAGCAAAACTCTACCTTCATTGTTGGTTTTTTTAACATCTATTTAAAAACAATTCCTTGCTCAGAGAATTTGAGGTGCTTTACAAATAGGCTGATATCATTATCTCTACCTGTCAAAAGGGGAAATAAGAAAAGCAAGGCATCTTCAGAGTTGTATCCAGGTGTCCTTCTGAGTCACCCTATTTTATGCCACACTACTAAGCCTCCCCCACAATATAAAGCCAGCAAAGATGGTAACCTGCAGTAAAACCTGCTGTCCTCGGGATGGTGTCTTATGCTGCAGGTATAGAAGGCAGAAACGTGTCAAAGACATAAGCACTTTTAACTAAGAAATCTTTGATGCTTGTGATAACTTTTCAAACTGATTTACACACTGTCAGTGTTTCTTGTATGTGTAAAATATGCATGGTTTTGGTCCTGCAATGGGACTCTTTTCCCTCCAATAATTTGAGCAGGCTGAAGGGCTGATGCTCTGGGCTTGAATTGTTTGCTTATACATTACCTTATGTTGTTTCTAATTGCAACCTATTCTTGCCTAGAATGTCACACTTGTGTCACACTAAACAGGCTCAGTGAAAGATTCACAATGAAATTTTATACACTCTCTAGTGCAGAAACATTAGAATCCCTGAGATTGGTTTCAAATTCTTCCAAGGAGATGCTTTCTGAGAACTCTGCATCTAGTTTTCTAGTCCCACAGAAATTTGAGAGAATTCAGATCAAGCTTTACAGTAAGTCCCTTCTGTAACAAGCTGGGCCAAGACAAATTAGGTTACATTTACCAACATCTCCCTAGAGAATGCACTGCATCTCTGATGTAAAATCCTCATGCCATCTTTTCCAAAGCTGGTGGGAGTAGTGTCAGTTTTAAGCTGTAAGGGAAACTGAAAACAAGTGTTTTAAGTTTACTATAATTTAAAATACAAGCAGTTCAGCAAGGCTGCCATTCAAGACAACTTATCCTCAAATGACAAGACAGCCTGAACAGACAAGGCTGATTGCAATTAAAAGTACAGGCTGAAAAACAAAATAAACTTTGATTTATGGAATGCACAGAAAATGGACTGAAGACTTCAGTACTGATGGAATTTTGGAACCATACAGGAAGAAAAAAATCAATATAACCAATGTTACAAAGACTTTTTTGGTTATACTTTAAAAGTAATCTTAAGGAAGGCAGGTTTGCTTCTACAGAATTCTGTTAGCTTCATCTTTATTAGATATCATGGGACATCTCCCACAGGCATAGTAAAAAATACATATATATTAAGCTCAAAGTCAAGTGATGTTCTTTTTTCAGCCTTGGGAGAAATTTTTCAGTCCAGTAAGTGCAACTTCAGAGTGAAATAAAAAAATATGAGAAACTAATCAGTGGCATGAATCAGCCTCCCTAGGGAACAATGGAACTATGCAGAACACAGTTCTAAATTGCTATCAATGTTAGAAACGCAGCCCTGCGATCTGACACTTGCTGATGAAACCTAGTGCCAGATGAAAAGCTGAGCAGGGTGGACAATATTTTGCTGCTCTCTGCAGGGTAGAACTGAGCATCGTCATCCACCACTGAGGCTGGGAAATGATCAGACTCACAAAAATAATCTGTGCTTTACAAGGAACTTTTACAATTTACTAGTGCATTGTTATTTCAACAGTAATCTGTACTCAATTTATATTTATTAATATTACATTTATAAATTCAAATCAACAATTGTACTTCAGCTGACAAGTCAGTTATAATTCTGCTCATAGTTTCATTCCTGTTTTCTCAGAAACAGAAGCCACTATATTTCCAAACCTGATGAACTGTGCATAGGCCATGACATGTATTCCACAGAGTCAAGTGCATGTTCTAACCAACGCAGAGCTCAAAAGAGCTGCAATCTCTCTCTGATGCACAGCAGTCCACAAAGCAAAAAAACACGCCCAATGCCATAGAGAACAGTTAAGGCTTTCTTGCTATGCAGGGAAAGAAGAGTCTGTTAGACTGAGCTTTCTGCTGTATGTTCTGGACGCATGCCAAGGTACGTTTTGACAGAAATACTAATCCCTACAGCGCTCCATCATACAGGAATTAAAGAACAGGCCCTCTTTCTTGCAACCTCACCACCAGACTTAGCATTTTTTACTTTACTTTACCACCACTCTTTACTTTGCTAGATATTGAGACATAACCAGGAACTGCAAGGTACCAGAAGAAAAGGCTTTTCCAAGCTCTTGTCCTCCTCTGCTCTTTGGAAAAAGATTAAGCAAATATCACTGTGTCATTCGCTTCCTCCTTCCAAACTAACGCTTAAATTATTTCCATCCCATACATTAGATGATTTAAAAAAAAAAAAAAATTCTTCCAGTGGTAAATGTTAACTCCTGAGAATAAAAAAACATGAGCACTGTGCTCCAGTATCTTCTTGAGAGACAAGCAATTAATGAAATATAAGCATTAACTAAAGATTCTTGTTACTGAAGTAACTGGCCACTGAATCTACTTAAATATTTCATTTGAGAATGCCTCCTTTAACTCCAAAGCAAAGGCAAGAAGGATATTGTTCTAGTTCCACATATTCTCTTAGAGACTTTATGGAAGTATTTTGTGTTCCCATCTCATTTGCCACAACACACACAACAACAAAACATAGCAGCAGTACCAGGAACTTTAATCCACTACTGGTCACAGGACACAGGCATTATATACTCCAAGACTCTATGTAAGCACACATATTTTCTTTCCCATCACACATCTGATGTCGCATGTCAGCTGTGAGACTGAAGGATAATATGTCCCTATACAAGGTCTGATGTGGAGAAATCTTTGTGGGGAGGCAGTTTTAAGCACCCAGTATTCCTGCTAGATGCAGCAGGCCCTACAATATGTCCACACGTGTATCTGCAAAATGTGTCTCTCATATTTGTAATTCCTTTATACTGAAATACATAAAAATAAAAACAAAACCCCCATTCTGTATTTTTCATGGCTTTGTTAAATACCAGTACTAGATACGGATTCACAAACCACAACGCAGAAATACAGGAGTTGGAAGGAGGAAGAGTTTTAAAGCTATCCTTAGCAATTTGACAGCATCAAGTGAAAAGGTACAAAAACTACAAATTGCAAATTGCATAGGCACACAGGGATCAGCATGTCAAAACTGGCAACGCTTGACAAACAAACCGAAGTTTAGAAATTAAATACTGTCTCTCAAGCAACTAGCAACAACACATTTCTATATAATACAAACAAAAAGTCCAGAAATGCACTGACCCCCTACAGCTACCACCTGACCTCTGGTTTCCAGAGGTCAATTTATAAACAGCTCAAAAGCAGTCTAAGCAAAACTTGGAAGATGGTGTAGCATTTATAGCATTATGCAGAACTCTGCAAGCAAGCCAAAGCAGTTGTCACGAAGAATATAATCCAACTCAGAAACCAAGCTTAGTTTTGATCAGGGTCAACCTTATTCATCAGCATCATCAAACTGGCCAGCCTCAGTCACTCTAACTGGTGGTGTAAAATCAATGCAAGCTACATGGTGAGAGCTTGGGTTGTAAAGTGAATCCTCTTGCCGTGAGTATGAGGCCAAAAGATTATATTCCTCAAAGCTTCCACAGTAGAAATCGTCAGCATCTAAAGAAGATCAAAGAAAAGATTTAAAGTATGGGACATACTTTGAAAACTAGTGGTATAGTGTAGCAGATTATTTTGCAAGTCTACGGCATCTTCCAGCTAAGTATTTCTATTTTATCTGCCAGCATTTACGAATTAGACCTACAAACAATGCAAACAAAGATGAATTTGGCAATGTCTTTGTTTTAAGGAAGGATTTTGGCACAGAGATAAAACAGTTTTCCAGAAAACTCAATGATATCCCTGGATTCAGAACATCTGCCACCACCTCTTACAATGTATGCAGTTCTTCTAAGTTTTCTACAGGCAGAAAGGGCCCATGAAAACATTTTTATTTCCACTCCCCCTTCCTGCTGTCTCCCTAACCACATCCCAATTAGGAGACCTCCAAACCCTTTAAGAACTGGGTCACTGGACAAAATGTAAGGGTGGGGTCCTGTAAAAGCTCTGAACAACATTTCCACTAGGCTAGAACTAACCTAATAAGCAAGTTATTTAACCAACCTAGCACAAAAATAGGGCAAAGTCCTTTAACAGAAGCAAAAGGTTTCTAGCCAACAGCCACTGAAGGGACTGAGCAAATGAAAAGCCAGAGTATGAGGCAGCAGAGGACCCATCACAGCATATCCACATGTCAGCTTTCCAGTAGCACTGCCAAACAAACCATGAAAGCATTTTATAAAAAGCCATAAAATGACTGATCAGGCACTTTTTTTTAATTTGTAGCAGTTAACAACTCAAACACTTGCATTTAATATCCTTCACAAGCACCTGAACCCCACAATCACCACTTCCTTCAACTAAGTTTGTGAGGACTTGAAGAACTAACTTAAAGGTAGGAATGAGTTAGTTAATTAAAGGAAGAGAACTTGTGACAATTGCAGTAAAAAAAAAACAACCAACAAACTCAAAGCATTCCATAAATTTGAGAAGATGAGAGATTAAAAGGAAATCCCAGGATGGAAGAATGGAAGAGAGAAAAGTATCCAAAAAGGAAAGTCTTTTTCTCAGACCACCTAGTGTGAAAAAACACTAATGTATTTCCATTTTAAAATCAGAACTATTTTATGGGAAGGCTGGAAAAACTTTGTAATTTCCTTCTGTTATCAAGCAGTGGAACTGGAATACAACAGCCATTTATGGAATTAAAATAAACAAAGAATTAGTATTTCCTAAGCAAAGAACAGTGTGTTTGTGGTAAGCACAAAGGATACACATTAATGAGAAGAAAATAAAAATGGTCCTATTCTGCATCAGCAAAGACACTGCAGATCACCACTGCTGGCTAAACTCCATCTGCTTGTTCTATCCTAACATACAGCCTGGCAAACAGGAGACCGAGACTCTCAGTTCAACGCATAAGGATGAATAAGATTCTGAAGATGTGGACAAAACTGCTTCTATACATTTCCATTGCCACCTTTGTTCATGGGATAGATCACATGCACAACTGCTTCAGAGGATAAAGCTTATAAAAAACAAAACAAAACCACAAAAAACTCCAAACAAAAAGCCCTACCGCACAGAAAGAACCCAACCCTACAAACCTACAGCAAAGCAACAACAAATCATATTCAGGACACAGACTGAGTGCTTGTACTGCTCTCCTCCAAAGAACTCTATGCTATAGAAGGACATTATGGTGTATAGTTTGGTTTCATTTTCTTGGAGGAAAAGAGGAATTCTATTTACACAAAAAAGTTACATTCCCAAACTCCATGAACTCTTCTGCTTCAGAGAAACAAAAGATACACCACTGTGTTAACTTCTCCAGAGAAACTCAATAAAAACATTCACTTCTCTCCTTACCATTCCACTCTCTAAGAATTCAAGTTCTCAAGCAAGAGTTTAATGTCAATTTCACAACACTTCCTTTAAATCCTATATATCTGACATCAAAATTATGCATTACAGATTCATGAGGCCAACAACAACAAAAATTGCTTCCCAAAATCAAACATGGGAGTTCTTTAAAAGCATTATCCTGCAAAGCACTTAACTTCAAATCACATACCTCAAATCACATACTATCCAGAAGACAAATGAAGAAAACATAAAGTAGTACTCACCATAAGGATCACACTCCAATTCTTCATCCCAGTCCTCCACCTCGAACCCAGAAGCAGGCTGCTGCTCCAGAAAAGTTACAGCTGCAGGCTTTCTGGAGATTTCACCACCCAAGTCTTCCGGGTCAGGATGTGTATCAGCACATTCAGAAGGAGAGGCACTGACATCATTTTCACTGTGAGAGGTATCAGAGAATTCATCTTCAGACTCGCTATCAAGAACACCTGGAACATTCTTCAGCAACCATTCTAAAACCAATAGAAAGAGACAACAGAGATACTCAGGAATTAAAGAGGAATGATTAAATCCCTAACATGCAATAATTCAGATACACAAATGCACCTGTGGCTACTAATCTAATTATAATATATGCAATTTCTTACATATGTGATATCACTACAGTAATGCTTCAGGTTTCAGGTGCTTAGGATCATCATACATAAGGGTTGCATCACAACACTTGCCCCAGTCAGAATTTTCCAGACTTGTTGGAAAAAAACTCTCTAAAATAGGGCAAAGGACCCAGCAATCTTGTTTCACCACATTCACTTGTTGGCATTTTTAAAAAGTAGGTATGTTGAAAAACTGCAGCTCTGGTCTAAAAACAAAACAAACAAACCTAAAAAGCAAGGGTTTTTTTGTAGTATTGATGAATTACTCTTACACCTAGGCATGCACAAACATCTACATGGCGATAACTCAGTGCAGTAACTGGAGGCATTTCCCATGCATCACCAAAAAGCTTCAAGTTTATTTCCTCAAGCAGAGTACAAATTTCATTACTTAATGTCTGCTTTGTCCTAATATTTTAGGCTTACCTTTCCTGGGCTTCCAGATCATAGTTTTTCTCCCATTAGAAAGCTGTTTCTCCTCAAAGCTTGCAGACTCAATGGCATCATGGGCCATCACCTGCAAGACAGTTTTAAAAAATCCAGTAGCACCTTTCATTGATTCCTTCAATAAGGCTCATGCAATTTCTACTGCATTTAAGTGTTTCTGACCCCTCAAGAACAAGCTTTTTGTTCCCTTGATAAATCAGAGGCTTGAAACCAGACAGGATTTCACTTCAAAAAGCAAATCTGCCGTCAGTCAGCCCAGGCAGCTGCCAACACAGAACTCTCTGGGAAAGGGTCCCAAAACTGACTCAAAATGCACCTATTTGGGATACAGCAGCAGGCTGTAAATGCAGCAGAGGTAATGAAGACACAAAGAGTAACGAGTACAACCACGCTGAGGAAGGTGACATCCCAGGAGACAAAGGCCAGAGCCTGCAGAAGCCCTGAGGAGCTGGAGGAAAATGGCGGGCGCAAAGCTGGAGAACAGAAGGCAACACCTCAGCTGGCTTCACGGCCCTCTGAGGGAACGGAACGGAAGGGCGAGTTATCCCCCCTATTTACCCGACAACAGAGATGAATTCGCTGACGGACCGAAGGACAAGCTGAGCTCCCACGTACTGAACGCCCGGCGGGCACAGCCCGGGCCTTCTGCCGGGAGGGGCCTGACGGGGCCGCGGCCGGCGGGGAAGGGAAGAACCCCGCGCACCTCGGGCCCCGCGCACCTCGGGCAGCCTCGGGCAGCCCCGCACCGCCGGGCCCCGCCGCCCGCCGGGCCGTGCCGGGGAAGAAGCCGCAACAGCCGAGGCGACAGTGCCGCCCGCCCCGCCAAGCCGGCACACGCTGAGGGGAGCTCCCCGACCCCGCTGAGGAGCTGGGCGCGGCACCAGAGGCGAAAGAGGCGCGAAACGAGGCCCTGCAGGGCCCCCCCTGCTCTGAGCGCCTCGTGCGCAGCTTCTGTCAGGGCCGCCGGGAATCCCGCCCGGGGGGGAGAAAAAGTCTGATGTGGGGGCACAAACGAGCAATTAAACTGGAGAAATAGGGCAGAGAAATCCAGATGTAAGAGCTTTAGGAGGACACCTGTACATTCATGAAGTTGTAAATGTTGGAAAGCAACTGCCAAATTTAGAGTTGTGCGATTGTTTTGTGTAAGATGTGCTCTGTATAGGTATGGAAGTTAAAGTGGCGGTCACAGGGGCACAGTTGGCACCACAGCCAGCACTGAGCAGGGACATCCTGCAGGAACTAGGCCTTGAAGAAGGCAATTAATCGAGGTTTTAGGGTCATCTCATCTAAATCGGACTTGGCAGAGAAAAATTAAAGTCTATATGGATAATTGGACCTAAGGAATGCAGGACATGATAAAGAAGAACCAACATCAAGATTTGACTGCTGAACAGTCTTGGGTGGTTGGAGCTATACAACTTATGATACTGTGTCTTTTAGGTGAACTTAGCTCATCATAATGTCATTATACTACTAAAAATCATACCCCCACATCAAAAAGTGCCCTAGGACCAGGTGATAGTAATCACAGTGATACAGTCATGTTATAACTACATGTAAATTGCTACTCAATCACTATAAGGAGGATGGACTTCGAAGCTTACTAACTTTTGTTTTGTGTATAAATGTGTAATGGAAAATCTTGTTTCGTGTGCTTGATTTGTGGGAAGGCACCAAGCATCCAGCTTTGTACAAACCTGCAATAAATAACGTCTTCTTCTTAAAAGGTAGTCTCTGCATTTCAGGAGCAATATCCTAACAATGCTCAGAGCATTGTTAGCATGCTCAGAGAAAGCACAATGAGATGGGAAACACCTGCAGCAATCACAGGTGCTCCATGAACTGGTGGAAATGCCTGTTTTTCAAAGTTGCTGTGGACAAAACAGGCAAAAAAATCTCTCCAAAATATACTTTGCGCTTAAAAGTTTTGTTGTGCACCTGAAGAAGCAAGATGAGCACTTCAGATGAGGGGGCAACATAATGAAGTGCAGACAGGCCTTAAGAGGAGCAATTACCAAGGGGAAGCACCATTACAGCATGAAACAGATCAGTACTGTCAGGGAGATAGAAGAGAGCCTGGCTAAGACAAAGCAGGAGGTACTTCAGATGTCACAGAAGGAGCAATCTAACAGGCTGTTGCTCCAAACCTTGTTTCAACCTAGTCAAAAGTTAGAAAGATTAATTGCCTGAGAGAAGCTGCAGTTTCTGCTTCTGTGAAAATCCTGTATTGTCATTATGTCACCATTCAGTCAGATAAAGGAACTACTTCTGCATGTTCCTGTACTTTCTCTAGGCATACTCTATTACTCCGCGGATAGAATTTATGTTGATTTTATGGGTTTGACATGGAAATTTATGGCCAAGAACCAAAAGCAACACTGTCTCAAAAACCCCTTACCCATTTTTCAGGCGTTGGTGACAGAAAGCTGAAGTGTAGATCAGAACATTCTTAAGTGTTACACATCAGGAACAATTGTAACAGATCTCAGCTCCCCTCTGCATTCCATAGTCCCTCTCAGATGCACAAATCCAAGGTGGTTGCAGATAGGTTTTGAAGAGCATTATAGATTACTTCAAGGTTAGAAAACAATTACCATAATTTGACAGCTTTTTTCTCCAGTAGTCCACTTGTCCTTAGTCAACTTAGTAAGATACAAAGATACTCCCACAGATGTACTTTCTAGGGGGGCTTTTTTGGCATTTATGTGCTGTAATATTAGCTTTCCAGAGGGTAAAGGCTGATGAAGTATGACTATTTCCCTCTGAATGTTTAGGGAGGAGGGTTTGCTCTCAGAAGTCTCCACAAAGAACACCCTCAGTGTGCCTGTGCTTTTTCCTCTTAACTGTGCACTTAAATTTGCTGCTGCCAGACACAACACTAGAAAGAACTGCAATGGGACAGATTTTTTTTTTCCCCACATATGCAAGAACATAAAGAAGGTACATGTTAATATGATCCAGGCATATATTTACCTTTGTACAAAGAAGTTTAAAAAAAATTTCACACTATCACGTTGTAACTACATTTTTTCATAAATGTCCAGTTTGCAATAAAGTGTATTTGGAAACAAAGTCTTCCACCAGGTTTCCCTGCAACATCTTCATAGCTCGCCAGTGAATGCTCCCACAGTTTTCTGGTTTGCCTTGGGGATGACTTAATTCCTCTCTGACATAATCCAGCCATAGATCTTTAGAAGAAAAACAGAAGTTCTGGTTAGATTTTGATTGCATATTACAGAACAAACATACCAATCCTCACCTAGAAACCCTCTTTTTTGCAAGTGTCCTTGATGTTAATACAATGAGGTTTACTTTGTGAAACTTTAACTCCCTGCCTCTTGAGGACCAAAGACCTGGGATCTACTCCCAGATGGAACAGTGATGTCTCAAGAAATAATGCAGCAATAATTGAGCTGGTTACTTTCTTAAAAGGAATACTGCAGAAATATTGATTACAAAAACATAGCTCCATACTGTTTGCAAGACCAAGTTAGAGGTGATGCACATCTCTTCTGTCAGCCAGTCTCAAAGCCTTATTTGCTGAAGCCATCCCACTGTGAACCATGACCCTAGACTGGAAGTGAAGGGTTGCTGCAGTGTCTTTGCATTTAATGGCACACAGAAAAACTAAGCTCCACTCTGCATGACAGCAATCACAAGGGCAAAACAAACAGCTACCTTTTGAAATGGATGGAAATGAAAGAGGCAGCACTGAATGAATGAATAAATCCAATCTCCTTACCACAATCTGTTGAACCAAACTCTCTCAAGGCACGTTCATAGTATTCTCTTACATGAAGCATTTTGCAAGATTCCTAACAAAAGAAGGCATTAAAAGGCCATTTATTTTGTGGATCTGCAGCTTGATTAGATTCTTACAAAGAAAAAGAGTCATGGTAATTACATGTGCACATGCACACTGCCTAAGATTAGTTACCATGGAACCTGGCTTCGTATTACATGCTATAAATCAACTTCAAAAGACAAATGCACAATGTATGATCACAAACTAATGACACCACTCATAAGCCCACTGTTTTCTATTTAAGTCAAAATTAAAAGTGTATTTTACAATACAAAGCACTAATTGGACATTCAACAACTTACTTGCTCCTTTTCTATTTGGATCATCTTCCTGAAGAAGTTAATTGAAAATGGACGATTTTCACACAAGCTGAAGTAAAAACACAAGTAACTTTAGACTTCAAGCCTTTTCACATATGCCTGAGAACAATCAAGTTTAAAGGTTTTATTTGTTACCTGTTAAAGACTTTCTTAACTTTCTTATAACCACCACTTCTGTATGTCCAGTCAAGATATTTTTCTTTCATAGTCACCGATTC